AAGCATTAGCTCCCTTCTGGATCTGAGCCCTTTCAGTCTGTGGTCAGAGACAATCTCCCCTTGACTAAGGGCTTTGTCTCAGTTCCCATTGTGGGCAGAGGCTGTTTGATTTAGTTCCAGGGTCCCTTAAATTGTGGATGGGAGAGGTGACAAGACCTTGGCAAAGTTGTGGTATCAGATGCTTTTGGAACCAAGAAGAGCCCATCCCCAAAAAATAGTAGGGATGCCAAGTAGATGCCTCCTTTTCACTGTTTTTTTTGTTGTTGTTGTTGAAAACCTCCCTGCCTGGTGGGCAGTTTCTTCTCTTCCCGGCCATTTCACCCTGGCTTTCCATCTTCCCATTTCTGACATACACCGTCTTTCCCAGGGGCCTCTGCTGTCCCTCTCAGGGGCCTCTGTGCTAACTTGGTGTTGTGAAAGGAAGAGTGTTTGCTATGGTACAGGCAGCCCTGAGTTGGGATTTCTCTCAATTCTCATTCATTTATTCATTGAGTAAATACCTTATTAAGCACCTGCAGGTGCCAGATGCCATTCTAGGGATGGAAAATGCCTCTGCGAAGATGGCAAAAAGGTCCCTACACTTATGGAGCATGTTTCTTTGTGACTAAGTAGATGTGTGAACTGAAGTCAGACTAGGAGCAATGAAGTAAAGCCCTGAAGAAGGAAAGAGTACTTAGAGGGGAGGGGTCCCCAGGGTAGACAGCTGGTAAGGAGATGAAGTTCTGGGAAAAGGGTCTTGAGAGCCAGAAGATCAGTGAGTGACAGGGTCTTGAGGTGGGAGTAAGCTTGGTGATTCTGGTTAGCAAGACTTTAGGGATGTGGAGGATGGAGAATGGGAGACAGGAAAATGAGGGAAGGTGGTCACAAGGGGCCACATCATTTTGGGTCTCATGGTTGTGGACTTTAGTCTCAGTATCATGAGAAGCCCATGGTAGATTTAGAACAAGGAGTGACAGTATTTGATTTCCTTTTTCAGAAGTTCATTTTGCCTACTAAATGGAGTGTGAATGGTAGAAGATGAGCAAGAAAGGAAGCTGAGAGAGCAGTCAGA